CAGCCATTTCCTTTACTTTCCCAGCATCCTGCTTCATTACTTGAATCAAATCCGTTATTTGCGTTTGTTGAGCAGTAATGCTTGTTGTCACAACTTGCAGCTGCTTTTGTTGTACAGTAATATTCGCTGTTACCACAGACATCTGTTCTTTAAAGACATTGAGCTGTTCCAGCAGAGGGCGCATGACCTCTGTCATCGCATTCGTCGTCTCACTGGTCATTTCCGGCACCTTCGGGGACTCTTGTTTCGCTTTTAAAAGTTTCTCTTTGTCTCTGTCCCTCTTCCCCGCCATCTTTTTCTCGTTTGTTTGCTTTTGCAATAAATTTTAAAGTCTCTGAATATACGCTTATCTGTATAGCTCGATGAATGAGTACTTCTGGGCAATTTCTTGTTTATTCTTCCACTCCCTCCCCTTTCGCTCAACAATTTATGGACATGGGAGGCGTCCCTCCCACCACTCGCTTCTGCCGTTTCGCCGCTTTGGGTAAGGAGTGTCTTTTCGTTTAAAAATCAGTTCTCATTTGACTCACGTTCATAGTTGGTCTTCCGACCCCTCTTCATTCATCATTTCAAATGCCTGATCTCCTGAACTTGATCCAGCTAGCTTCACTTGTACCATCAGGTCTCTCGGCTGGACGGACCACTGGAGCAAGGGGGAGCCTCGATTCCCTCGCATTCAGCCAGAGAAGAGGCTACCCCCTCAAAGCTCCTTGGCCAGGTGCCCTTCCCTGGGCTCCTGGGGGGGGGGTTACGAGCCTGATCACCCCCTCCATCCGCCAGAGCACGGAGACACCCCCGGGAGGTCCGAGAGGTGAGTCCGTGAGCGTGCCACCATCAACCAGAAGGCTCTCCTACTCCTTTTCAAAGATGCAGCTATGCACTGGGAATGAAAGCCCCTTGTTCAAGAATATTTCTCTACACTAGCTGAAAGACTCCTTTTAAAGGGATTTTTTTACCCTCCTGCTTCCTCACTCCAGGAAGCACAGGGCCTCTGTTACAGTGGGATGCCAGCCCTTCTACCTTTTTGTCCAACAGCACTTTGGTCACCAACAAGAGGAAATGCAGGGGAGGCCTGGCACACCAGTGCCATGCCGGTTTACTGATAATTCCATTAAAAACAAGGCAGATGCTCTAGCATTTTGCATTTTAACATAGAGTTTTTGCATAATGCTAGAGCATCTGCCATGTTGCTTCTGTTTTTTACTAGAAGCGTTGTAGACATGCCAGCACGATGTCACCACACCATGCCGCACCTCACATTTTGTTGGGATATTGCGAGTTCACTCCTGTCAGTTATGAAAGAGTTAACCTGTTTATATATGCTAATTCTTAGCTAGTTAGCTTAGGACAAATTAGATCTTAGACATGTATTTCCCACCAGAGAAAGGGAGGTCATATGCCTAAGGAAATGGGATCAGGGCCAGCTATTGGATATCAATTTTATTGGGATGCTACATGCATTTTGTCACATACACAGAAAGGTGGTGACTTTGGGGAAATTTTCTACCTCCTTTCTTCTCACTCACACACAAGTTCTAGCAAACACATTGACAAGACATAGAATAGAAAAACTAGTCAGGATATTTGTTATTTTCTCTCCATATTAACCCTTTTCCCTTGTGTTCTAGTAAAGTCTTTTTCTTAATCTAAATACGCACGTGTGGCTACCTTCCTTCTTTTTACTCTGCTAAATATCCATCCAACACATTTCCTCCCAGGAGCTGCCAGCTGCAGCCTGGCAACCCTGCACAGATGGGAGTTAGTTTAGAGATGACAAAGTCCTTATGTGCTAAAATTAACTGTAAAGGTAAAGGTTCCCTTGCTCGAAAGCCAGTCGAATCCGACTCTAGGGTTGCGGTGCTCATCTCCGTTTCAAAGCCGAAGAGCCAGCGCTGTCCGAAGACGTTTCCGTGGTCATGTGGCCGGCATGACTAAACACTAAGGTGCACGGAACGCTGTTACCTTCCCACCGAAGCGGTACCTATTTATCTACTTGCAATTTCTTGCTTTTGAACTGCTAGGTTGGCAGGAGCTGGAACTAGAGATGGGAGCTCACTCCGTCATGCAGCACCCGGGTCTCGAACTGCTGAACTACTGACCTTCCACAGCCTGCAGCTCAGCGTCTTAACCACTTGAGCCACCGCAGCTCCTAAAATTAACTGTACCACTTCATAATACAGGTGGTGGTATGATCCACATCAGAAAGTTTCTTTGCACTGGAAAAAAAAATCTCCCTGCAAACGGGAAAATATCACAGCTGGGAGAATGTTTCCACCACAGTGAGGATCACTGTTACTAATTTGAGAATCTGATGGCTAAAATCTAAAGTTTAAATACAAAAACAATATGAAAATTCTAATATACACAGTTCTAGCTAAAGCTGTTCTCAGATTCAATCCCCTTCATATATACTCTCCAAGATAAATGTGTGATAAAACTGAGAAGAGTTTTTAGTGGACATCTCATGAGGCAATAGCTATACTTTTCAAAGGTAATGTGAATAGGGTCCCAAAGGGAACATGGAACCCCACATACATGGACCAGTGTGGATCCCTAACATTTAATAAGAACTGATGCTCTTGTAATGTAATATTATCCATTTCATTTAGTAGCTTTTTATCCTGTCTTTCTTCAAGTAGCTCAGTGTAGCATACATGGTTGTCCCCTCCATTTTATCTCACAACAACCCTGTGAGGGGAGTTAGGCTGAGAGACAGAAGTCACCCAATATATTCCACAGCAAAGAGGGATTTGAATCTGGATCTCCCTGGGGCTACACCAACTCTCTAACTACCACGTCAAAACATGGACCTGATTTTTCAACATCAGAACTTGGGCTAGTTCATGCATAACGGATGAACCACAGTTTGG